GCACGGGCTTCTGCTGTGCTTAATACCTAAACGGGGGGGACAAAAGCAGCCACCCATGTTGAGGAGAGCAGCTTCGTGCTGCCTCTGTGATGCTGTGGCTCTCTGGTTTAATGTCCACCCCCCCAGCCCTGCTCCCTCTCACCAGGAACAGGGATGGGATAGGTGCTCATCCATCTCCATTTGCTCTGCTTCCCCCCCAGCTGCCTTTAGCAGCTCAATCAGCTTGGAGAAAATCTGGTAAGGCAGGAGGGAGCTGTATCTGCCTTTTCAAGAGAAGAAAAGTAGTTCTCTCTTTTTCAGCAAAGCAAAAAGAGAAGCCAGAGTGGCCCATCTCTAAACATTTAACTCCTCACATATGCTGTGAACCTGGTGACTTTCTTTTGGCATAAACATTACCTGGTGTCCTGGTTTCAGCTGGGATAGAGTCAATTTTCCTCCTAGTAGCTGGTACAGTGCTGTGTTTTGGATTTAGGATGAGAATAATGTTGATGACACACTGATGTTTTGGTTGTTGCTGAGCAGTGCTTACACTAAGTCAAAGACTTCTCATACTGCCCTACCAGCAAGGAGGCTGGAGGTGCACAAGAAGCTGGGAGGGGCCACAGCCAGGACAGTTGACCCAAACTGGCCAAAGGGATATTCCTTACCATATGATGTCATACTCAGTATAAAAACTGGGGGGAGTTGGCCAGGGGAGGTGTAGCCGCTGCTCAGGAACTGGCTGGTCATTGGTCAGCAGGTGGTGAGCAATTGCATTGTGCATCACTTGTTTTGTGTATTCTTTTATCATTATTATTATTATTTTCCCTTCCTTTTTTGTCCTATTAAATTGTCTTTATCTCAACCCATGAGTTTTACCTTTTTTCCGATTCTTTCCCCCATCCCACTGAGGGGGAGTGAGTGAACAGCTCTGTGGTGTTTAGCGGCCTGCCAGGTTAAGTCACACCACCTGGAAAAGCAGTTCACTGAGAACATCTCTGCCTGGTAACGGGAGTCCTCATGAACATCTGTGAAGGTCCATGACTTGACATGCCACTCCGGGACAATGTAGTGTAGGATCTCCAGTTTTGTCTCCACAACAGCAGGTGAAGTTTGTTGCTCTTGTTACGCTGCTCTGAAAGACAAAATGTAGAATAACACAGGGTAATCTCAGCAATGTAAAGTGCATAGGTCCAGAAAGCAGAGGAATTAAAAACAGAAGACACCCCCCAAACCCCCCCCCCAGCTTCTGCAAACATCCCACTCCCCATGTTAATCCTTTTAAGTCTGTCGATCAGTTCCAACAAAAATGACAGTTGATCCAGGTCTCAGAGATTCTCAGTTCCAACAAGTTTTCTAAAGATCAGCTACAGAGTAGAAAGAAATCCAGGTTAGAGCCTCAGCTGAGGAAAGGTGGCTACTGTGAACTGAACAACTACTGCTTGGTTTTAACCTTCCAGCTAAAAAAAAGTGTTAAAACAAAACAAAAAAACCCCACCCCCCAAAAAAACAACAGCTAAATAATAACTGAAGGCCAGTCATTCCTGGTGTAGCGTGATTGTGCGTGCTGCCCCTTCACAAGGACGTACAACTGGAGAGTGCTGAAAGCAAAATAATTGGGGAGGGGAGTAGGGAGAGGGTTAGAAGATATTTATAAAGGCAATTCAAGTTCTTGGAAAGAACTGATTGTGGAAACCTTATCAATGATGGCAGAAGAGCTGAGTTTATTGCACTGTTTAGACAGGATATATGGAAAAGGAATCTAGACATCCACATTTCTCTCAACAGTCTAAAAAAGTTCACTAAAGTTCACAGTTCACTGAAGGAAATGAATGGGAACTTGTTAACATCCAGTCACTCATCATCCATCCCACTTCAATAACAATGGAGTTTCCAGTGACTGACTAAGGCTTTGGAGCATCCAAAAGAAATAATCCTTGAGAGTCAGGAAACCTAAGTCTGATGGGAGGGAACATAGAAAGGCTTCAAGAACAGCTCCAGAACAACTCAAGGACGTCAGAATTTGAAGGAGTCACCAGCCTATTGCATGTTACCAAAGAGTATGAACCGCGGGACTCTGTCTTTTTCTCCTGGCTGGTGTATTTCCACCAGGTGAACACGTTATGCTACAGACTGTCAGCTTTCTCCTGTTCAGGTAACTGCTCCAGCTGGAAGTTTCTAGGAGGCAACGGAAAGACATAAAGGCAAATCTGCTGTTAGGGTTTTGCCACTACAGCTCCTGGGTGAGCTCTGCATAGATTTTTTCTGGAAAATGCTCTTTCTTATTCTGAAATCTCAAGTCAGACAGATAATCCTTTTCTGTCTGTGCTTATTGCCTAAATGGGCTTCAAGAAAAAAAAAATATGGAATTTTTGAGTAGTATCTTGGCTCTAATTATCCCACCTTCTGCAGCGTCTTCAACCAGAAATCCTGGAGGACCACTTATCGGATGAGGGAAAGTCAGACACCCGCGTATTATCTTGGGCTTACAGAGTACACCTTGGCAATGCCAAAAGCTCCTGAAAAGCAAACAAACAAAAAACATTAACCAGAGCAAAGAAGCAGAGACAAAAAGATAGACTTTTAAGAGTAGTAGGGTAAGTATTGGAAGTTTAGATTGGTTTCTGAACATCATTTAATTTTAGTCCAGTGTATTCCACTGTGGTGATACAGAGAAAAGAACCAAGGAGAAGTCCCATGGAAAGTTATAGAACAACTAGATCATCAACAGAAGTCACTTAGCACATAGCATTAGGTGTTATTACAAATATATTGATGATGAGGCACAGCTATCTAGCGGTTGTGATTATTTTGGAAAATTTCTAAAGTCCATGATGCACCTTAGAATCACATTTGAGAAGTCTGGTTTAAAGGTTATGGGTTATGTAGAACTTTTAGATGTCAAGACTGAAATATTAAATATAATTGTATTATATGTTGCCTACCTTGCCATCTATAGCTGCAAGTTTTCTAGTTTTGTAAATTGCTGACTGTAACCATCATCAGAAGACCTTAGAACTACTTAGAGAAACAGCAAATATACGGGTCACATTTCTACAGCATAAAATAACTGTACTGAAAAGGCTACAAGATTAAAGGAAAGGATAAAAGGGGGAGAGGACGTTGCCATGCATTTTCTGAAGTAAATGGCATTTGGAAACTTGAGATTTCTAAAGATGAGTAAGATGAGTCTACTCATTGAAATGATGTTTTCTTTACCCTGAGTGCAGATGTAGAACTACAGTTTATAAAAATATTATGCTTTGTGTCCAAAAAGTAAAACTATGCGAAGAAAAAAAAAAGTAAAAGGAATACTTTAAGATATTATGTATCAATAAAGAGTAAGAGCATGAAATTGAAAAACACATGCCAAATTTTTAAAAGCACCTGAAGCAATCTAGATTTTTTCCATGGGTACATTAACAAGATGAACAGATCAGTTTCTTCATCAGCACCTCAGTCCCATAAACACAGAAAAGCCGCGTGATCACGCAGTTACAGACCTGGG